GCAGACCAGATTCAAACCGAGACCGGCGGTTGGAAGGGGCGCGAAATTTTGCTTTTTCATAGGTAACGACACTTAAACTCTCAATATCCCTTTCTCCACTCATGAATAAAGATGGTGCCAGCAAGGAAAGTCAGGAATATGTGGCCTAAATAAAACGGTAGTAAAAAAGATGTTGTAAGAGGTTCCCTTGTTTTCCTTCCTCCGCGTCACCACTCCAAATTAGAATTTGAAGTAGAAGATGAGTGTTTAGAATCACTTCGCGTATATATATTTTCGATCGAATCCGTTATATTTCTCTCTTAATTATTTCATGATTTAATAGTAATTTCTTTGGATGCGTGTAGTGGTCTTTAAAGAGCTAAGCATATGGAAGGCAACATGGTTTTGATATTAAAAAAAAAGTTACTTTACTTAGTTAGAATTAGTTAAAAATTACTTTAATTAGTTTTTAAGTTATCTATCGATTGGTAAAGTCAACCAATTTATTTGCGCCAGTATTTTTCGATATCGCGTGTTCTTTATCTGAGTCCTGTCTAACAATTGTAATCAGCGGGTAACTTTCACTTTCCATCATTGAAGCGCTCAGCGACAGACCGCTCATCTAGTAACGTGTCGAATATTATCATTCCAGTTCCCATGGCCGCTAAGAGACCAACGAAGATCATCACCAAGCCTACCACGACCTAATGAGAAACATATATGGGAACTAACAAATCTTTTCGATCGCAAGGCAACCAGCCTAACTTTTTAATGCTGTGATAAGTTACTGCTTTCAATCTTGACATTTTCCAGGGTAATGAACAGTTTCGAAGGTAAGTGTTTCCGCATTCTGCACCAAGAACCAAACTGGGTTTTAATCTACACCAGATCAGGGGCGCAGCTAGCTGCGCGGCATGTGGCCTCATGTGTAGCCTACGAGGCGTAGTTTTGGCGAATATTATGGCCGCCATCTTTGATTTTAACGACAGCGAATGGCTGGGAAGTGAAATAAATTTGTACAAGGGAGCGGTCGACGGTCAAAAATAAGGAGAGGGGTTAATGTGGGGGAGTGATTCTCCATTCCCCAGCCCTCAGCCCCCCCGTCCACTTTAACTGCAAATCAAACATGGCCAATCAAATAAACGATCACGAGCTTTTAACATAAGCTCGCATTAACAAGACGCCTGCACTGCAGGCTCCAATTGCCCAAATTTCCGAACACCCCGGAAAGTTAAAATTCGACGTAAAAATATGAAACCTATGCAAATGATAAAACACGATTAATTGCTTTTTTTTCATGGCGAATCAAAAGGGAAACAGAGTAAAAAGATGGAGTTACGATGATAGAATGAAGCTAACACTTGATTCTTTTAACAGTTAAGTTTATTTACAATAATTATTTTTACAAATCAAAGTGAAATGTGGGAGATAGGGTAAAACAATATGCAACTCAAAACTTTACAATTTTCCAAATTTTATATTGCAGGAATTTGAAAGAAGAAAATGAAGCGACTACGTTACTCTTTTCCCAGGTAAAGTTATGCAGTGACGTTAAAGTTAATGAGTCCCAGTCTCTTTGTGTTCGGTTATTCATCAGCGCTGATATGAATTCATCGTAAGAGGAAAGTGACGCACGCGACCTGAAAACCATCCGACATAACCAACAGCGTATGAATCGCTGTTAATACATATGGTGGAAAAAAGTCTGAATATTAAAAAATAATGATAATAAAATAAAGTGGACGAAAGAAAGAAAGAAAAAAGAAAGAAACGGAAAAAGGAAAACAAAGAAGGAGAAAAACAGAAGAAAAGAAAAAAACAAATTAAAACCGAATTACAAAATACTTAAATACCCTATTTAAAATCTAAACTCATAAAAATACCTATAAAAACAAAACCTACCTTCCTAAAAACAAAATGAAAAGGCTATAAAAAAATAGGACAAAAAGGAAAGAGAACTGAAAAGACAGAAAACAAAAAGAGTGCAGCGCCAAAGGCAAAATTTTCAGTTACGTGCAGTGACTCTGTGATCGCATACGTCGCCTCCATTACAAATGATTCTAAATCAGCGTATCTGATTGGACGAAAACATAGCCATTAGATTGAAACACACAAAGCATGATGTCAACTTAGATCATTCCACCTTCCCCTTTGCAAAAAACAGCGTAATCGAAAAAACCGATAAAAATGTGATGATGAAAATATACCTCGTCAGATCTGCGTTTTCATCCTTAACCCTGAACTTAAAATGCGAAAGAAGTATTTACAAAATCATGGAACAATTCCGAGCAATAAAAAAAAGAGAAAAAATATGAATAGATATTACTTATGATAAAAATCGAAAATATTTACAATACAATCAAATGAATTCATAATAGTTATGTACATGACTAATGTTTGACACGTGAAATATTCTCACTATTCAGATAATGTCTCAATATTTCTCTTGGGTTAAGAACTTTGCATTGAAAAATGAAACTGCCAGCTTAATTAAAGTGATTGGCAGAATTTAGTGATTTACAAATGATTTCAAGTCATTTACGAACATGTTACAACACAACTCAGACCAGAAATAAGGAAATGCTTGTGAAATCGAAACTGCAAAAACAGGAAAACAAAAAGCAGAATTAGCCATTGTTATCCGTAACATATTAGTATAATCAAAATGATCTGTGGCAAACTCATGGCAAAATACAAAGTCAGATTATGTGAAGAGAACCAGATGCG